AAAACCATGAAAATAACTCATTGACTGACGAAACTCGTTTAAAACCAGTCATGAAAAACAAATGAACTAGATCATCGTTTTAGTGCAGAGAAATACAGCTAATTCAATAGTCAGTGCTTGAGTCTGCTGTGAGGGAATCTGAAACGGAACTTCAAGGATCATTTTTGCTGAAGTAAGGAATTAAGAAAATATGACCGGGATCGGGATTAGCCTGTAGAAACCGTCGGGATTGAGGGATTGACGGAAAATTCCGTTCGGGATGGCGGGATTGAAGAACCCTCTGTAAATGTCAGGAATGTAAATTTGTTCATTAATGGCATTCGGTTCACAAATTGAATGCCGCGCTTCTAAAAATAATCTTTTCCACCATTGGGAACAGCGGTCAATGATCTTGACGTCCACAAGGTCAAAATCATGATTGTATTTTATACAATGTTGGATTAATAAAGAATTCCTATCTCCCGCGAAAATCGCTCTCTTGTGCTCTCTAATCCTGGATCTTATGGCTCTTGATATTTGACCCATTTAAACTTTGTCACAATCTTTACAACTAATTTTATAGATCACTCCTGTCGATAAGTCTTTACTAAATTTGTCTTTAGGTTTTTTTTAGAATGGAGCCAACGGTCGTTACGGGTTTGTGGGCAACATTGATATTGAATTGATTTCAAGTTCTTGCAATCTTTTTCTGAATTTCCTTGAAGATATGGCAGGGTGACAAAACCTCTGTTGGTTTGAGACTGAGTTGTAGACCCAGTGGTGCTTTGGCAGCTTCTAATAAATTTTTCGGTGTAACCATTGATCTTCAGGGCGTCGACCACGTGTTGTATTTCGGATAATCTGCCTATGTTGGTAGAAGGGATGTTCTTTGCTCTGTCGAGAAGGGTTCTAACTACTGAGCGTTTGTGTTGAAAAGAGTGGTCAAATCAATGACTTGCCGTTAAACCTACATTCAGGCGTAACTTCAACTATGTTTGCGGATGCTACTAATCTTCTTGTTCGAGGTCCCTCTGTTACTTCCCTCAGCACTCAGTTGAATGAGGTTGCTAGAACTGTATCTACTTGGGCTGCTAATAGTCGAATGTCACTTAACACAACCAAAACTAAATCCTTACTTATTACGACCCTGCAGAAACGCTGTACTTTAACCAGCTCGGCACTCGATGTCCAAATCAATGGTAGATCCATTGAGCAAGTGGACTATACCAAGATACTGGGCGTCACGATAGACAGTGACATGTCTTGGGAGCATCACATCGATACAATATGCTGCATAATTAGCAGTAGGCTTTCTATTCTCCATCGAATTAAACCTTATCTTAACTTTGATTCTGCTATAAGGTTCTATAATTCTTGTGTTAACAACTACTTTATCTATTGTTCCGCTGCCTGGGGTAACTGTTCCCACCATCTACTCTTACGACTGCTTCGTCTCCAAAAGCATGCTGGACGTATACTCCTTGATGCCGACCTCTCTCAGGCTTCTATTTCCTTATTTTTAAAACTCAACTGGATCCCCGTTTTTGACCTTATTAAATACAAGAAACTTTTACTTCTTTTCATCGTACTCTT